AACTCCACTCCCTTGGACCCAGAGCGCTCAAACTTCTAGGATATATAGGGGCCGGGCGTGAACACTGATAGTGGGTGGCGGGAAGTGATAACTACTGATAGGAGCTGATAACGGACGTCGAAATGTTGATGTCACCAATTTCGTTACACCGTTCGCGTTGACGGTGGAGAGTTTGCACTCATGTATGATATGTGGGGTGAGGCGGGGACCAAGAAGTTGAGTGAACGAATGTGGTAGCAACTGATAAGAACTGATAAGGGGCGTCAAAGTGTGGATACCACCAGTTTCGTTGCGGCCCTCGCGGTGACATTGAAACCTTGGCTTTCACATGTGGTATAAGGAATGGGACGGGAACAAGGTGGCGAGGATTGAATGTGGGTGACAGAAAGTGGTATGAGCGGCAACTGTACTGATAAAAGTAGCGAAATTGAGCGTGCACTCAGTTAAACTAAACCAGGCCCCTAGCAAGTGAATATGTTCCATTCCTATCCTTTCATCTAAAGAAGCAAAGAAAGTTGAGCTGCTCAACTATCTGGACTTGGACTAATAGCGAATAAAATCATATTTCCAATTTCCATCATAGCTCGGTTGATGCTGATTGATTGGTTATATTTCACTTACACACCGATTCTTCAATTGTGGAAATTCTATAAACCGCTAAATCGCCCGAGCTCGATATCAATGCTAAATGTTTACGAAGTCATGATAAGTAATTTTCCATTCCGCATGCTACTGCGCGCATTACGCGACAATCTTCAGCAAAATTGGACAACCTTTGAATTCATGTGACACATCTTCCAAAACATCTTACTGTTAGTTTCTCAGTCACGTGACCTAATATTCTGCAAGTTGTCCAGTTTCACTGAAGCCCGCCATTTGATGCGCGCGGTTGCGTGCGGAGCTAAACTGGTGATTAATAATCCATTCAACATACTAGTTTCAGATTTTTGTAGGGTTCCCGACATGGTAATCAGATAGGCGCTCATGTACCTAGGAGGGGCATTCAAGACAGAGATTAAAAACGCTGGTGGTTTATTGACACTAGGACTAAGCCCAGGAGAGGGAGAAATGCCAGGGAGAACAAAGGTTACTCTGTCCTCCCCAGAGTCCCTTCCTCCTCCCTAACGTCTAGTCCCAAGTTCTATAAGTGGCTCACATACTTCAATGCCCCCCCCCTATGATATGAGCGCCCGAAATAAATAATTTCAAAGCTTGGAATATAAATTAGCTTTGATTAAATCAAGTAATTGTCGTGAACGTTCGTAATTTATTAAATGGCAGCTACCGTACCTGATCATCTCCGTTATCCAGGATGATGCGCCTCCGGGACTCCAAATCCTCGGACTGAAAAAGGAATTAGTTGTTGAATGACGCACGATATACCGTAATCTGTTTGCTGTATAAAAATTGTTTTAAAATTTACACATTTCAACGTTGATCGCCACCACTGGCGAAAACCGATTGAAAAAATTTTCAAAATAAAAATCGGTTTATTTTGAAGGATGAGTGGTGCTTTTCTGTGACATTGAAATAGAAAAATTTAATTTATTATTAAAGAAAAACCTAAAAAGGGGATTATGGCGTGTAGATGTGTCAGAAGACGTCTAGATTTTCTTTTTGTTAAATTTTCCATTAGGCTTTTTTTCGATTTCTGACTTTTTGCTTTGCTTTTCATTTCAAGGCTCCCCTTCAGTTGCTTTTCCTCTCAATTATTTATTTATTTAATTATTCGTTTATTGCTCAAAAACACGCTGTAGAGAGAAGAAAACAAGCCAAAATCAACATAAAGACGTGAGGGATTCTCGCACCAGAAAGAGTGGCTAGCTTGAAAACCAATTCGTTGTATAATATTTTGTAATCAAACCAATACATAATGAAGTTGAAGCTGATTTCTGGGTTCCAAAAACTTTCAACTCTTCGTTCAATCCCACTTACATGATTCAAAATAGATTAAAAATGTATTTTCTGTTTCCACTCATTTCTCTCTTCCGAGTTTTGTTGCAATGAAAAGGTTTTTGTTTCAGGATTCTTTCTCGAAATGGACTGTTTTTTCTCTTTGTTTCATGTCGGAGTACAATGGCAATGGATCTTGCACCGAAAGTCGGAAATCGGAAGATGGAACTTGCGTAGGTTTCCTAATCATGTTCACTCTAATTAAAAGGCCAGTTTACTGGAGGAAATGTCTGGGGAGTTTATAAAAAAAACAATTTTTCTCATATTCAACTTTTATTTTATACAGCTTAATCTACGGTTTACTTTGCTGAAGCAAGAGGGTTATTCAGAAGTTTTCCAGACATTCGAATGTGAACAGAGTGAAGCAAAGCACAGTTCAAACTCAAGTTTGACCGACATGCTGCTGAGAGAAACAAGTTGAGGATGTGGGCGGATTCAGAATTTGAATTCGAATGAGTGAAGAAAAAAATAAATGGGATTAAATTTAAGATGAAAAATTGGACCCAGAAAAAACTTCGCACTCACCCCCCAGGCTCCGTTGAAAACCTTCCTGGCGTCACGTCGTAGGTGGTTCCAGTTATTCCGGCGATGAACCCATTTTTGAAAAGTCTCTGGTGAGACGTTTGGTCCTGTCACGTAATTCTCAAGTACGGAAGGATTGTCACGTAAGTATTGTACAACACGTTCTTCGGTCAGGTCGATCATTCTGTCACCTGGACTCTAAATAGAAAAAATTTATGGGCGGGAGAACAGCGTGGTAGAGAATTTCAGTGCTCTGATTTCCGATTTATTTTATACGCCGTGCATTCGCCTTTCCTGGAAAAACCTGGCTGTAGCTATCTATGACCACGAATGGTGAAGCCATCAACCAAAGGGGTCGGTCATTGATTACATGGGGGGGGGGAGAGGAGGGAGGGAGGAAACGTACCAAGCTATCCGCCAAAAGGCGCATCGTAATATCAATGTCCTTCTTTGTCGTGATTTTCACCCTGTCCCAGGTTAAGACTATTTTCGTCCCCTTAGTCCAGTGCCATTGTTCGATTCACTATTCCAGTCGCCCCATCCCCGCCTCCTGTTTGAGTTTTTTTTGGTTTTGAAACCCCTTTTCTTGGGATTCTTTTCATTGTTTTCCAAAGTTTCGGCCTCTCCGGAACTTTTTTGATGACCCTATCTATGGAAAGCCTCCATCTACGAATAAAGGGCCAAGAAAAAAAGTAGGTATAGAATAGCCCTGAAATGGTGCTGGTGGTGATATTTGGACATGGTCACTGATCATTTGAAAGAGTTAGTTCCACAAAACGCCAACTGAAATTACTGAAAAATACGATTTCAATGAAGTGAAACAAACCAGGGATGCTCGTCGATTATTTATGTCGCGTTGCGAAGAGTTTGTTTGAGCCTGAAAATGAAGCGATGAAGTTATGGAGACACGACATAACTTAACGTCAAGCCGCATACAGTAATAATCAATAATTTTCAAGTTATGTAGTTTTATTTATTTTTCATGCTCATTTTTGCTCCAGAAATGTGAAGCGAAAGCAGCTGGCAATACAACCGACCATGAACTAAATCCTGGCTGAAACTTTACCAACGTCTCCCCCCCTCCTTCTTACCGAGAAAACTTTTGACTTCCCACGAGCTTTGGATGGAGAACTAGGTGAATCGATAAGGTGAAAAATGCTAATTACAAGATATGAAGACCGAAGCTGCTACGTGAACTATCCAAGAAGTTTGTGAGCCGTCAAACTTGGCGAGGGTGAAGGAACACCGGTTGGTCAAGCTGGGGATGAAGGAGCATACACCAGCGCAAAGCATTGCGTCAATTTTAGGACGGATTCTGGCCCAATCTGCACTCTACTGCATAAGAGCTACAACGGTCTTGGTACTCATCATAGCCACCCACAAATCGGATCATCACAAGTTTGGGATCGTGGCATTTAGGTGAGCGAGATCGGGGATCAATTTGATGAGGTAATCCCTCTCGAATATGAAAGTACGGATGCGAAGGACTGCAGTGAAAAAAAGGAGAAGAAATCGTCAAAAACTCTGCAAAATAGGAACCTCCTCGCTTTCTAGAATTCTAAGAAGTAGACAGCGAGATAAGGTAGGTTGTTGGAGAGGGATGGAACTACGCTCGAGAGGAAAATATAGGCAGATCAACGTATAGGGCACCAAACGGTGGGCGTCTATTGTTCCTCAATGACCGTGAGCTTGAGAGGAGGCAAGTTAATAAAGCGCCTTAGTGTCGTAGTACAACGAAGAAGGCACAAAATTGGCGCGCATCAACTGCAGTGGGGGGACCTGCATCTCTATGCCATGGGAGGCGGACTTCATTATGAAGCCGACTGGACCCTCGCCTTTAAATATTTGGCGCTTAGCTGGGCGAGCACCAAATAGAAGAGCAGTAAGTTCAAATATACGCATCAAATGTGATTTTCAGATGGTTGTAACAGAATAAATGAGTTCATGGTGCTTATTCGTTCTTTAAGCCCATAACTTGTGAAATATACTATTACTAGATAATTAAAACTTAATAGTGCTTACAAAAGTGCCTTACCTCCTTATGTCTTCTTATAGGTGGGAACATTCGATGATCGCCGTTCTCAATCTTTGCAGAGCTCTGAGCTTTCGCTTCCGCTGCCGCCGCCGCCACCGCTATAGATATACACACGAGTTGCGGACGTACATTCAAGGGGCTTCGATTTCACCAAGAGGTTTCCTGCGACTGTAAATTGAAAAATAAGGCCTCTTCTCACGAGCAATTAGCTCAAAACTAAAACGGAGGACTTCTATCATATAAGCTAATTTAGGTTACAGCTAGTAGTCTAATTCTCTTTAAGGAGACGATAAACTGGTGAAAAGAAGGGAAAGTAGAAGGAATTTTCAGAAGGAAATATGGGGAACACCCACACAATTAGGCTGGAGAGACAGGTTAGCGAAGGCTCTCATGTGACGGCGATGTAAACGGGAGATGTTATAGCACGTAACCCATAGCAATGCAGAGCGGAGGGATGAGAGATAAGCCGTCAGGCTCTGCCAAATCCCCTTCAGAGCGTCAGAGGAGGCCTGGAACGCAATGGGTAAACATTGCTGAGGTTTTAACGGTTTGCGTTTGAAAACAAAATTCAGCTGTAGTCGGGTTTCAGCTGAACGTGAGAGGAAAACGTGAATAGCGCACTACAGATTGGCGCCGTTTACAGGTGTGGTTGGGGGTTCTACTTCCGCACAACGATCTTTGCGGCTTTTGAATCGCATGGAATTAAACACTGGAATCGTTTTGCATGGTTGATCTGAACAGATCATATCTTGTTTCATTCCAAAAGTGCGCCAGCATTTGACTTCATTCGAGATCGCAGTTGGTTGACTGCGAGATTTTCAGTCTCTGCAAATAACTTTTCCCAGGAACGATGAATGTATGACGTGTTTAAGATTTTTTCTGAAGGCTCAAATGCCGCTAAGTCACTAATTTCGAGGGCATGCTCACCTCCCTCGAGTGAAGCTCCATCCACATATCATTCGAATGAGAGCAGATTTCCTTTAAATCACATGGACCTTTCGTCCTCATCGAGTATTGCTCGGATTGCGGGTTTTATAAAATTTCTGTATGCGTGAGAGTTGGTTGCGGTGTGATGTGGAAAGTGGCACGCTCACCCGGTAATCTGGGTCGGTGAGTCGCCAGGACACCAGCCTTCCATCCTCCGGAGTCGCGTTATTGGGTACCAGATCCGTCTTGGCTGAGGCTAAAAACACCGAAATTGTACTATCGGGCTTGCTGCCCCCCCCCTCCCTCGCAAGTCATTGTAGTAGGCCACATCGCATTCAAACGCCACTACGAATGTACAAATGGAAGTAGAATGCGTGCCGCATTCCAAAAAGGGATTGATCAACGGCAAATGCTTTATCCTTTTCTTATCTTTATGAAAACCACTAGGAAGCAAGTCTTATGACATTCAAATAAACAAAGAGGATAAGAGCAGCGGATAGAAATGTTCATCCTGTAACTATTGGGTCTCTGAGAATGCGCGAACGTAATTTGGCTTCCGATTCCATTCTGTGGACGCTCCACTTCACGATTTTAGCGAGTTGGTCCACGAGACTCTGGGATTCAGGTGAAGCTCCGCTTTGAGAGCCTGCATAGCAAACAGACAGGAAGAATAGAAGCGTTCGATCCTGCTCTCGGGACGTTTTCTACTTCCACTCACAGCTCTAGTAGGTCAGCAGCATTTTGCGAAGTGAACGATTTGATTGAAGTGTGGAGACTGGCCATCGATTCTTGGACCTCGTTACTGTGGTAGGATCTATCAGAGCGTGACTGAGGCTGCTTCTTATTGTTTATGCGGAGAAGTGGGCGAGTCGGAGCAAAATCCGAAGCCGATTCTACTTCGACGGATATTAGTTACAAAGGGAGCGAGGCATTTTTCAAAGTGGGTAATCGGTAGCGATTATTTTAACGCATGGGAGAAGTGTAAGCTCGCTCCTGCCACACGCGTAACGGCTGCCTTCTGGTCGTTTGGGGCGTTTTTATTTGATCTCTCACATTCATCGAGGGTTTGCTGGTAGCGTTGAAGGTGCAGGGGATTGATAGTTCAGTGTTGAGAAGTTTTAGTTGTGAGGCTCCACGCTCCCCGAAGATGATGCGGCGTGATGATTTCGCTGTTATCTTTCGAGGAATTGAAATATGTTTAGGTGATTAAACCCACTGAGTCGTTGGTAAGGTTAACCTATCTCAATCTTCGTCGTGCTGTCTACCAATCGAAAAGTCTCTAATGGTAAAAAATGTTGTTGTTCAGATTTCTCTTTCATACCTGAAAGGTTACCATGGGATTAGACCTGTGGCGATGGAAGAACCTGTTTCTGATTAGGCCAGGCCGATCGTGACATTCCTTCGAGGAATCTAGTGGATATATAACAGCTACGTAGAAGATCTGGGGAACATTTCTGCCAAATCCCTTTCTGGATATTGAGTTCCGCATGAAGTCTGCGGTTTGGTCCAAGGCGTATTGGTGTATAGCCAGAACGCTATTTTCCTATTGCAGGGCAACACGGAAGTTTCGTAGTGGAGACATAAGGCCGGGGAAAAAAGACGAATCGGTTCGTAACGCGCAGCGCCATAAGTTGATTGATGAATCGAACCGCTACGCTCCTCTCAACCATCGACGATCTTTGTGCACGAGTACGGTAAGCGATGGACGATCCGACGCAATTCAACGGACTTTGGCTGTGAAAAACCTAGCGAGGATGATGGTAGCACGAAAAGCGCGCGACAGGTCATCGCATCGCGCGCGCTCGTCATCACCCAATCTATTCCGCCATCATCTCCCCTTATCAGTCGCAGCGCTTCGCCACTTGGCCACCGGCCAACTACGGTCCAAATTGACCTTGTGGCCACGCCCACATTCTGTCTATCTCTCGTTCAACTGGTTTCCGATTGTTTTCTCAGTACGGCCAGCCAGCCCATCATCTCCAGCCCACCACCGTCGTCGTCGTGGCGGCCATCCTCGCCATCACCGGCACGCTGACTTTCCCTTGCTATGACTGTCATAGTAATAATAGTGATAATAATTATTAATTGCAATGATAATTATTGTTGTAGTTGTTATGTTTATTGTTTTTTTTTACGCTGGGCGGCTTTTCTTTGATATACTTGTTGTCATTATTACCATTTTTGGTAGATTTCCAACACTGAGCGGTTTCGCTTTGAAGTCGTGTTTATTGATTTTAAAGAATGATGATAATCAGAGTTTTGCTTCACGTTATCTCAGCCGACCTTGACATTCCTGTCATTCACTCTTCATTTGTTCGCGCATCGATTGATTTCAGTTTAATAATTTCAGCCGAAATTTCTTCATTTTCCCTGAAAACTCAGTTATTTTCGGGCTAATTTATAAATCTGAACAAAAAAAAACGGAATTTCTAAATTTTCATTATTCTTTTAGGTTTCTCATTCAAATTTTAATCGAAAAATTAACAGTCTGGAAAAAGAAAGAATTTTATCCAAGAAAGTTGTCTCTAATAATATAACAAGTCGTTAAGGTGAGGGGAAGGAGGCGGAGATTCAAAAGTTCATTTTGAGGATAAGCTTCTTTTTTAGAGAATTTTCTAGAAGGATTTTGAAATTAGTGTTCATATATGTCATAGTGTATAAAATAATGTGGTCAGAAGAAAAATTCGAAGGAAGTAAAAAGCGAAGAACCGGTTTCGGGTGGAAAAATACGGCGAGGATTTCCAGAAAACTTCACTGTCGGTATGGTCGCGGTTTCTTCGTTCTTGTTCGTGTTTAGTCATCATTTTATCGAACACTCTGCGAAATTACTCAGAGTCCTTCTAGAAGGGTTTAAAATGGGCTCCACCATAAATTGCAATCTTGTTGTTTTTTTTTCTATTTTTCAATAACCTCAAGGTGTTATTTTTATTCTATTTTTCAATAACAACCCAACGTTTAGTTTTATTGGTGAAATAAGAAATAAGTTAATAAACAGTAATTAGTGCCAGCAAAAATGGAAATCTATGTTCCATGATGTCATGCATATTACTATAACATTAAAAATTGTGATTTTTTAGATAGAGATATTGCTATCAGGTAGCGCTGTTCACCACACGCTGATCCCGTGATCAAATCCTGGATGGTGCGTCATTCAGGTCTAGCCTCTCATCACTTCAGAGCCGGCTAATTGGTATAGACTGTTCTTGAATGCGAAAAACGCTGACGTACACATGGGTGGATCCGCAACTAGGCCGACGAATTGAAGTAGAAGAGGTATGAGAGTAGGAAGTAGAAGTAGATGCGTTGGACGCATTTAAAGGAGAGAAGGTCTACCCAAATATCGTTCCCTTTACCCTTCTGACCTTTACATCTTATTTTGTCATTCAGTTATTGAATTCGTGGAGCGGAAGGGAGTAATCTGAGGCGGTCTGGGTGTGGCGCCAGCATTTCGAAGTTATTACGATCGTCACCAGGGGGCTTTTTCTGGTTAATCCTTTTGCTTTAAGAATAATTGTATTTAAGAAAAGTACTCAAGAAAGATTAACCAAATAAAGCCCTATGGGACCAACGCCCCCTTATCTCATGCACTGGCAGCATCATGACCTCTAATTTCTCCACTTACTGTGGACTCTGGGCGTGCATATACAGGGGGGGGCAAAAAAAAAGACATTTTGCCTATGTCGGACTTCGGCTCTTTTTTCTTCGCAGAGATTGCTGTCGTTGACGGGAGTTCCTCAGCAGAGTATTCCCTAAGTGTTCCTCTATTAGTGTACGCAGGCTCTCCTTCACTGCCCTCACCGTCTTCAGAATATGACGTCATCTGTCACCGTCGTCAGGCTCAAGGAGGTCTACCGTAAGAGCTTCAGCCTGAAGCTCTTACGCAATTTCGTGAATCGATTTAATGTTGGATAGTTTTCTAGAGGCATTAGCTACCACTGTGCAAATCCCCTCGGAACTAGCTTTCCAGTAAGGGTCGTTATGGTACACGATCCTTCGAAGACCCCATTGAGATCGACCAGTGCACCATGTTTCCAGGGCTAATTCTTCTGATGCCGTCCACGTACGTGGCCACTATGAAGATTTTCTTATAGAATGGAATGCACTCTTTAATAATAAGTTGGAACCGTCGGTCTGAGTTGAGTAAAATGTGCTTAAATCCATCTGGAAGTGGAGGCAAAATGTCTTTTTTTTTTGGCCCCCCCCCTGTATATGGCTGAATAATTTAGTTGTAGCATCCATTCAAAGCGTCTCCAACATGGCATGTAAGCGATCCCTCCTGGAAAACATGGAGACCTGGTTGCAGTTTGACGAAATTCCAGGTCTGGATCGGGTAACGGAAATCATGTGGCGTGGCAGTGACGCAACTTTTCACTTCTGCATCACCATCTCAAGACTGCTTATTTACCAATTTCCTGTTGGCTTCCGGTCGCGCCCTGATAATAAGGTGGAGCCGTTGGTCAACAACAAAATATACCGCTAGGCGCTGTACAACAGAAAAACTCGCTACGAAAGTGAAGCCGGTCGGTTTCTAAAAATAGGGTTCATTATCACAAGACTAGATGATTGACAGCAGGGTGAGGCTGGCCTCTTATGGGACTTGAACCGGACTCGTGGGGCGCATGTACTTTCCCAGTCACTTACCAAAACTTCACGAAGCTCCTCAACTTTCATCTGTGTGTGTGTTTTGTAGTGAGGCCATTTGCGATATAGACTTCATACTTAGTACTTAGTAATAGTGATTTGTATGATATTCATCGCTGCTGCCAGATCATGACTTTTTTCTCGATTGGATCTACGCTCATTCTACGGTTATTGGATTCTTTCATTGTTTGAACATTCAGCTTGTTAGTAAAAGTAATCAAGATTCACTTTCGGCTTATAAGTATATCAAGGTTCGCTTCTCCTCTCCGGTTTCTGAAATTTTTATGCAGATAAGGCAGGTACCAAATCAACGACCCAGGAGGGTTTGAAACTCGGATGTTTTGCGTATGAATTTGCATAGCAAACTACGGCGCAGCCTATTTCAACTACGGCGTTACTGTCGCTCCTGCTTTGAATGTATATTGTTCAACGCGTCATTTCTATAGTCTCTTTTTAAAGCTTAGGGGGACTTGAGGAAACATTCTCCGATAAAGGAGGTGAGTTAAAAGGGTTCATGTATGAACACTTGACTCGCTGGAAAGGAGGAAGGAAAGCAAACTATTGGAGGGGTTCATTCGAGGGCTTTTTGTCTCCTGTGTGCTGGACGGGCGGTTTCGCAGACATTGTGCGCTGAGTCGAGAGCACAGGCGAGTAAAGCGATGGGTCTAGCTGACGAGTTAGACCGCAGACAGCGCTACTGTGGGCGGTCACTCGAGATGTCAACGGTTACAGTTACTGAACCACTACCGCCCTCAGCATGTTTTATAAGTAGCGAAAGCGGCACTGCTTATGCGGATTCGAGCTCAGCATCCTCATTCATGAGAGTTCTTCCACTGACGAGAAACCTGCCTATAACTTGTTGGTATTTAGGTAATTATCCAACTTACCATGACTTCGTCTCAGTCCATCTATGTATTATGGTGAAAGGTTTTATTTTAGGGGTCTCTGCTCATGGGTATTTCCTTCTACCGTTTTGGGTGGACCAGAAAGCGAAACTTAGGGAAGTGCATGCCAGCCGTAAATCGGTAGTGCGCGTCAATATTTTTAGCTGCAAAGCTTGACAAAATAAGGTCCGAGCAGATTAATGAGTGGCGCTCGCGGAACACCACGGTCCACTATCGGTTTACAAATTTGCTTATGCTTTTGGTTGTAGGTATCCGGTCTCCGGCGTGAATGTCATTCTATTGGTATTTGTGGATAATTTCCATTGATCCCTTACCAAAAGCTTTTCCAGACGCTTTCGTGGTACGGACTGTGCCGAAATTATTAGAGCCTCATTAAGAATTGAATCAAATAAAGAGGAATGTACAAAAATGAGTCTTTTTCTATCTCATTTTATTTCATGGCGAAATTC